TATTTTGTCAGTCATCTCCTATGTGGTATAAGGTTGACTGTTTTCAGTTAATACCTCAATTTTATTGGTATCATCTTCAATTACTATCATCTCCTGGCCATGGAGCATCATCCAGCGAGAAATCTGTGCACAAAACTTCACAAATCACTATTGACATTTTTGATTAATCACAGCACCTTCTCTGTACATTGCATGAATCTTTACTGGTGTTTCAGTTGCATTTTTACCTTTCTTAAATAATATTCTAATATTCTGAAACTGTTGCTTTTCCCCTTCTATCTTCAATATTAAATGGTTACACAAAAATTCACACAATTTAAATGTTTTTAAATGCATGCTAATATGAGAACTGTCACAATAAAATGTAACAAAATTGTTTAGGAAGAAGTTAAAGACAACTAAGCACTATTAAAGTCATTTTTCAGGAAAGAAAAAAACAAACGAACAGTTTCACCAACCCAACATAATACTGAATTCATCTCTTTTTCCTTGCAGTTCCATCAGTTTGTCTGCAATGTATTTTAAAGCTCTGTTGTTAGGGGAATACATATTATAGAAATGCTATGTCGTCTTTGAGAACTGACCCTTTATCATTATGTACTGCTCTTTTAAAGTTTGTGATAATTTTCCTTGCTCTGATATCAGCACTTATTACAGCTACTTCACTTTTCTTTTGATTGGTACTATCATGGTGTATTCCTCCATCCTTTAATTTCAACATATCTGTGTCTTCATATTTAAAGTGGGCCTGTTCTAGACACCATATAGTTGGGTCTTTTATGTGTGTGTGTGTGTTTGTGTGATCAAAAGCAAATAACAGGAGATATACTTGCTTTATAAAACTTAAGTGCACAGTACAATATTGTGAACTCTAAGCACACTGTTGTAAACAAGATCTCTAGAAACTGTCCATTATATATCGCTGAAACTCACTACCCATGGAACAGAATTTTTTTCATTTTCTCCTTCCCCTAGTCCATGACAACCTCTAGTGTGGAATTTGGAATATTTGTGTACCATTGGTGAGAATGTAAAATGGTACAGCCACTACAGAAAACAGTATGGAGGTTCTTCAAACAATTGAAAATAGAACTACCCTATGATCTAGTAATCCCACTACTGGGCATTTATCCAAAAGAATAGAAATCAGAATCTTGAAGAGAGATTTTCATTTCATATTCACTACAGCACTATTCATAACAGCCAAGAGGTGGAAGCAAGTTAAATGTACATCAATAAATGAACAGAATGTGGACTACATATACAAGGAAATATTCATCTATAAAGAAGAAGGAAATTCTATGAAATTTTAGAAACAGATGAACCTTGAGGACTTAATGCTAAGTGAAATAAGCCAGCCATAGAAGGACAAATATTACATGTTCCACTTCTCTAAAGCATCTAAAATATACAGCTCATCAAAGAAATTATGAGGCCTCCAAAATTGTTTTGGCTACTCAGGGTTCTTTGTGATGTCACATGGATTTTAGGAATACATTTTCAATTTCTGTAAGAAATGTCTTTGGGATTTTGATAGGAATTGCATGGGCTAAGGTGAACAGTTAAGTAATACTAAGTTTTCCAGTTCATGAACATGAAATATAGTTCCATTTATCTGTGTCTTCTTTAATTTTGCTCAGCAATACTTTACAGTATTCAATGTATACATCCTTTGCCTTCTTGGTTAAGTTTATTTCTGAGTATCTTGTTCTTTTTTATGCTGAGCTAGAACTATCTCTCTGTGCAAATGTCATTATCTTAGTGTGTTCAGTTCAGTTGCTCAGTCATGTCCAACTCTTTGCGACCCCACAGACTGCAGCACACCAGGCCTCCCTGTCCATCACAAACTCCCAGAGTTTACCCAAACTCATATTCATTGAGTTGGTGATGCCATCCAACCATCTCATCCTCTGTTGTTCCCTTCTCCTCCTGCCTTCAATCTTTCCCAGCATCAGGGTCTTTTCAAATGACTTAGCTCTTCGCGTCAGGTGGCCAAAGTATTGGAGTTTCAGCTTCAACATCAGTCCTTCCAATGAATACCCAGGACTGATCTCCTTTAGGATGGACTGGTTGGATCTCCTTGCAGTCCAAGGGGCTCTCAAGAGTCCTCTCCAACACCACAGTTCAAAAGCATCAATTCTTTGGCGCTCAACTTTCTTTATAATCCAACTCTCACATCCATACGTGACTACTGGAAAAACCATAGCCTTGACTAGATGGACCTTTGTTGGCAAAGTAATGTCTCTACTTTTAAAATATGCTGTCTAGGTTGGTCATAACTTTCCTTCCAAGTACTAAGTGTCTTTTAACTTCATGGCTGCAGTCACCATCTGCAGTGATTTTGGAACCCCCCCTCAAAATAAAGTCTGTCACGGTTTCCACTGTTTCCCCATCTATTTGTCATGAAGGGATGGGACCAAATGCCATGATCTTAGTTTTCTGAATATTGAGCTTTAAGCCAACTTTTCACTCTCCTCTTTCACTTTCATCAAGAGACTCTTTAGTTCTTCTTCACTTTCTGCCATAATGGTGGTGTCATCTGAATATCTGAGGTTATTGATATTTCTCCCAACAATCTTGATTCCAGCTTGTGCTTTTCCAGCCCAGCGTTTCTCATGATGTACTCTGAATTTAAGTTTAATAAGCAGGGTGACAACATACAGCCTTGATTTACCCTTTTCCTATTTGGAACTGGTCTGTTGTTCCATGTCCAGTTCTAACTGTTGCTTTCTGAGCTGCATACAGATTTCTCAAGAGGCAGGTCAGGTGGTCTGGTATTCCCATCTCTTTCAGAATTTTCCAGTTTATTGTGATCCACACAGTCAGTCTTTGGCATAGTCAATAAAGCAGAAATAGATGTTTTTCTGGAACTCTTGCTTTTTTGATGATCAAGCGGATGTTGGCAATTTGATCTCTAGTTCCTCTGCCTTTTCTTCAACCAGCTTGAACATCTGGAAGTTCATGATTCACATATTGCTGAAGCCTAGCTTGGAGAATTTTGAGCATTTCTTTACTAGCATGTGAGATGAGTGCAATTGTGTGGTAGTTTGAGCATTCTTTGGCATTGCCTTCGTTTGGGATTGGAATGAAAACTGACCTTTTCCAGTCCTCTGACCACTGCTGAGTCTTCCAAATTTCCTGGCATATTAAGTGTAGAAAACCCTAAAGATGCCACACACACACACACACACACACACACACACACACACACATGTTAGTAATAATAAGTGAACTCTGAAAAGTTGCAGGATACATAATCAACCTACAAAAATCATTTGTTTCTGTACATTGACAACAGCCATCTGAAATGAGTGCTGGTGTTTTTATGGACTCTGCCAGTTTAATTAGTGTGTTTAGAATATTAATGTTTAATGTTGTTATTGATACAGACTATTATCTACTATAGTCATTATTGCTTTCTATTCAATTTTTCTTTCTTTTTTTTTTTTTTTTTTTTTGGTCTTTCACTCTTTTTCTCTCTCTCCTGGTTCTGAGTGTTTTGTATAATTCCATTTTCTCTTCCGTCTTAGCATGTGAATTATATTTCTTTTTTAAACCTTCAGTGGTTGCCTTACAGCATACACTTTCAACTGGTTCAAATACCTATCTTCAACTAGCACTACACTGTTTGATTGGTAATACAAGTACCTTATAACAGAATTTTCCTAATTACTCCCTTCTGTCTTTTCCAATACTGCATCATTCATATCACATATCTGAGCTAGAATCATTAAATACATTAGTGCTATTTTTATTTTGAATAAACTCTTATCCAACAGATCAATTTAGAAAAAGAAAATAAGAGACTTAATACATCTTAATTTGTTTTTTCTCAAATAGCCTTCCTTTATTTAGATCTGGGTGTCTGACCTAAATATCTTTCCTTCTTCCTGAAGAACTTTGTTTAACATTTCTTCTAAGGCAGGTCTTCTGTTTTTCAGTTGATAAGTCATGTCCAACTCTTTGTGACCCCATGCAGTGCAGCATCCTAGGCTTCTCTGTCCTTCACTATCTCCTGGAAATTTCCTCAAACTCATGTCCATTGAGATGGTGATGCCATCCACCCATCTCATCCTGTCACCCCCCTTCTCCTCCTGCCTTCAATCTTTCCCACCATGAGGGTCTTTTCCAATGGGTTGGCTCTTAGCCTCAGGTGGCCAGAGTACAAGAGCTTCAGCATCAGTCCTTCCAATGAATATTCAAGGTTGATTTCCCTTAGGTTTGACTGGTTTGATCTCCTTGCTGCCAAGAGTCTCAAGAGTCTCAAGACTTGGAGATCTTCTTCAGCACTACAGTTCGAAAGGGTCTACTAGCAACAAATTTTCTGAAATTTTGTTTGAAAAGGAAAACTTAACTGCTAGATGGGACAAATAAAGGCATCTACATAATTTTGTCACTGAAGCAATCTTTGTAAACAGGAGTGTTCAGTGCCTTGTTCCAGAGTAGCTCACAACAAACGTCAGGTGCTGTTGTTTTTCCCAAAGTTCAAGAGGCTGGGCTCCAATCTTTTGGTGAGAAGGTGACTGAAAAACACAAAGCTCAAGTATCTGTGGAGCTCTCTGAAATGCAATGAAACCAAAAACCTTAGGGCATCCTTGGTCTCAGAGAATGCAACAAAACAACAAAATACTCCAAGCCTGGCCTTTACCAAGACCCAGCTCCAGTGTTCTTGCCTGGAGAGTCCCAGGGACGGCGGAGCCTGGTGGGCTGCCGTCTGTGGGGTCGCACAGAGTCGGACACGACTGAAGTGACTTAGTTTAGCTTAGCTTAAGTGTGTGTTCTTTCCAGAGTCCAATGGCGACAGCTGGTGGGCAGGAGGAAGGCCGGATTTCAAACGCAAGGAGCCACGCGGCGGAGATTTGGCGGGGGCGGGCGAGGTGCGCAAGAGGTGGGGCCTGGGGGAGGTGGGGCAGGAAAGCACCGAAGAGAAAGAAAAAGACAGGCGCACAGAGGGACGGGCGAGGCGGGGCCTGGGAAGCCGGCTAGCGGGGAAGGAGGGCGGTGCTGGCAGCGTGGTTGCAGAGCCCCGCAGGGACCTGGGCCGACTCGGACCGCGGAAGGGGGACCAGCGCAGCCATGTTGGAGGCGTTGGGCTCCCTGGCGGCTGCCCTCTGGGCCGCGCTCCGTCCCGGCACTGCCCTGCTGGGGGCCGTTGTCTTTCTCCTCTTAGCTGATTTTCTCAAAAGGCGGCGACCAAAGAACTACCCGCCGGGGCCCCCGCGCCTGCCCTTCATAGGCAACTTCTTCCAACTGGACTTTGACAAGGCGCACCTGTCGCTTCAGCGGGTAGGAGCGAGCGACGGTGCCCGCGCGCGTCCCGACCCTGACCTGCGGAACAGGGGCCATTCCGGGTACCGAGGGCGGGAGGACTGGGAGGGGGGACCCCCTGGAGGCTTCCCTGGTGCCTCGGACGGTAAACAATCTGCCTGCAGTGCAGGAGCCCCAGGTTTGATCCCTGGGTGTGGAAAATCCCCTGAAAAAGGAAGTGGCAACCCACTCCAGTATTGTCTGGAGAAGCCCATGAACAGAGGAGCCTGGCGGGCTATAGTCCATGGGGTCGCAAGGAGTTGGACACGACTGAGCGACTAACAGTTTCACTTTTCTGAGGCTAAAGCAGGCACCCTGGTAGACCCACTTGGAGCCTCTCTCTTGGTAGCAAGTGGCATGATTCACCGTGCTTTCTAGGTGTGAAATATTGTTAATTGTTCACTGTTGAATGTGCTGGACAAGATACACTTTGGGGCTGGGGTGCAAATTTATTGTACAAAACAGAAAATGCATCTCGATCCATCTAGCTGGTGGGGAAAATTTAACTATTGAACTGTAGCTTCTCAGGTGGTTCAGTGGTAAGAATCAGCCTGCCAAGCAGGAGATGCCAGTCTGATCCCTGGGTCTGGACGATCCCCTGGAGAAGGAATGGTAACCCACTTCAGTTTTCTTGCCTGGGACACCCCAAGGACAGAGGATCCTGGAGGGCTATAGTCCATGGGGCTGCAAAGTGTCCAACACCATTTAGGGATTCAGTAACAACAAGCACTCATCTGAAGCCTTCACATGCTGCCAGGAGCTTAGTCACCTGCATATTTTCTCTTCTCTCAGGGATCCTCGGATGCAGTATGGTTCAGAACCCGCTCTGCATGCTTAGTAAACGTTTTTGACTGACCAGGTGGCCTTTGTCTCTTCTGTTTCTTTCACTGGAGCCTTGAGGGTGACAGACACAATACGATTTTAAGTCATTTAGTTGGATCTTGTTACATATTACCTGGACATTCTTTTTATAGTATGAAAATTTTGTCTTTTTTTACATTATTTTTGGCTGCACTAGGTCTTCCTTGCTTTTGCTAGGGCTTTCTCTAGTTGCTCCAAGTGGGGACTACTGTTGGTTTCAGTGTGCGGGCTTCTCATTGTGGTGACTTTTCTTGTGGAGAATAGACTTCAGGTGTACCAGCTTCAGTGGTTGCATTTTGCTGGCTCTAGATCGCGGGCTCAGTAGTTGAAGTGCTCATGTTTAGTTGCTTGTGACATATGGAATTTTCCCAGACCAGAAATGGAACCCATGTCCCCTAATTGGCAGGTGAATTCTCATCCACTGCGCCACCAGGGAAATCTCCCACTTTGTCCTTTTAATATTATTATCCTTGGTGGAGAAAGAGAGAGGGGAAGCTATACTTTCCCTGGGAGGTTCTGTTTCCCTTGTGTAAAATGATGATGAGGAAAAGAAGAAAGTATTAGACACTCAGTCACGTCTGACTCTTTGCGACCCCACTGACTGTAACCCGCCAGGCTCCTCTGTCTGTGGAATTCTCCCGGCAAGTGTACCGGAGTGGGTTGCAGTCCCTCCTCTGTGGGATCTTCCCAACCTGGGAATCAAACCCACGGCTCCTGCATTGCAGGTGGATTCTTTATGGTCTGAGCCACCTAAATCCTCACCACTTGTCAACCACATTGGTCCCATCCCCACAAGGACAGAGCCCCTCATCTTCAGGCTCCTCCATCTACAATCCACTCTCAATAAAGTATTCATTTAAAAATGTCATTCCTCTGCCGAGATTTTCTTAGTGCTTCCTGCTGCTTCCCAGAGTTCATATTCCTTAGGGAGCCACATGGATCCCTTCTTGTAGCCTCTTTCCACTTTATCGTCTTCTTCCATCAGAGCTCCCTAACTGTGGCCACCCTGAATCCATAAAATTCCCTTCATCACTCAACACTATCTCAAGAATTAGCAGCTGCTTCCTTGCCTCTCAGCACAGGTACCTTCCTGACAGACAGCTCTGTGGTAGGTGGTTGTGATGATTAAATAAAAGGAATGTTCAATGTTAACATAGCTTATAGTTGGTGCTCAGAATAGTTCTAGTTCCCTAGAAATGCCTGGAGCACTTTCAACACAAGCATGTATTGCAAACTCAGGCTCAGATGGAGATGGCTTCATCACTTTCTGGAAGAAACACCCAGTTGGTAGCACTAAGTGATGAGATTAGTATATAGAATTTTAAAGATAAGATCCTAAACATGTATACCTTTTTTGAGAAATATGTTGTTTAATTTCCAAGTATTAGAAACCTTTCTTGTTTTCTTTACCTGTTAATGATTTACAGTTGGAGATCATTAGGGTCAGAGGACATTTAATGATATGATTTCAACTTTGAACAAATATGTAAAGGTTGGTTTTATGACCCATGACAGATGCTTGAAAAATATGTCTTCTGCTCTCATTGTTTGGAGTATTCTGTAATGTGTCAGACCTTAAGAAATGAGTGTATTGTTTAGTGTTTCTGTCCCCGGGTTGATGTCTTATCTACTAATTCTATCAGTTACTGGGAGTGGCTTACTGAGGTCTCCAACTGTACTTGGACATTTAAGTCTGGTCAGTCTGGTTAGTTTTGGTCATTTTATTTTATGTATTTGATGTCTCTTTTATTTGGCACACACACATTAAAATTGTTGTGTCATCTTGGTGAACTGGCTCTTAATTATTACATAACCTCCCTCTTTATCCCTGATTTCCTTTGCCTGAACTTTACCTGATACAGTATAGCTAAGCACCTCTCTTTTGATTAGTATTTGCATAGCATATGCTTCTCCAGTCTTTCATTTTTAACCTACTTACATGATTATATTTGAAATGAGTTTTTTTTTTCCATTTATTTTTATTAGTTGGAGGCTAATTACTTTACATCATTGCAGTAGTTTTTGTCATACATTGAAATGAATTAGCCATCAATTTACATGTATTCCCCATCCCGATCCCCCCTCCCACCTCCCTCTCCACCCAATCCCTCTGGGTCTTCCCAGTGCACCAGGCCCGAGCACTTGTCTCATGCACCCAACCTGGGCTGGTGATGTGTTTCACCCTAGATAATATACATGTTTCAATGCTGTTCTCTTGAAACATCCCACCCTTGCCTTCTCCCAGAGTCCACAAGTCTGTTCTGTACATCTGAATCTCTTTTTCTGTTTTGCATATAGGGTTATTGTTACCATCTTTCTAAATTCCATATATATGTGTTAGTATACTGTAATATAACATATAAGTGGGTCATTTTTTTCATTCTGCCAATCTCTCTTTTATTGGTGAACTTAGATCCTTTATATTTAGCACAATTTCTGATGTATGAACAGTTAAGTCTGCCATTTTATTATTTATTTTCTATTTTTCACTTTGTTCTCTGTTTCTCTATTTCTCATTTCTGGTCTTTCTGTGAGTCACTTAAATATTTTGTAAGAACCCCGTTTTAATGTATCTGTAGTGTTTTTGAGTACGTCTCTGTATTCTGCTCTAAGTGCTTCCTGTAAAGCTTACAGGCTATGCATATATAGCTTGTTACATCATCTAGTGTTGTTTCCATTTTAAGGCTGAGGAAACTGACTAAAAACTGTCAAGTGATTTGCATAAGTTATTCAAAATTGATGATGACCAAACAAGGACTTGACTTCTACCCCCAGTCTCTACTTTTGTTGCCTGACACTTCTTGAGATAGTTGGCAGATTTATTCAGGTTTTCATTTATCCAATAGATATTTATGAAGTGCTTATCATATGACAGGCATAGTACAATAGAGTATATGATGAAAAGTGTGGTATAAATTTATGGCAACCAAATGAGGTGTTATTAGGTAGGTTCACTGTGAATGAGAAGCCATGGGGATAATCTCTGTAGAATGCTGAAATGAATTTGCTTGAACTTGAAATAACTGTGAGGCAAGTGGCTATATGGAGTAAAGTAGACAGTAGATTTTTAAATGGGAAAGTAACATGAGCTAAAACAAAGTGAGAAGGCAGTGAAGAAACTGGTTGATTTGTTTGGCATAAGGGGAACCTTCCTTATTTCCTGCATTTCTGAAACATTCTCTACCATAACTATATGGCTTATTATAGGAACATATATGTGAATAAGAAAAAATCTAATTGGACTAAGGACGGGAAGTGATAGATAAGGAGGATAAATGTATTATGAGGCCATACATTAGGCTGCTTGTAACAAAAAAATCCCAAAATACAGTGGTGTGAAAATATTGAAATTTATTTCTCTCTCACAAGTTGAGATGTAGGCAGGAAGACCAGGATAGCAAAGCTGCTTTGCTCCACAAGATTATCCAAATACTCAGTGCTTCTATCTTGTTGCTCTGGTCTCATGACACTCAACATGAAGGGGAAAGTGGGAGGTGGTGAGAAGGAAATTTCCTTCAAGGACGCTACTCAGAAGATGCACACATCACCACTACTCACGTCCTATTGGAAGTTAATTGGGAAGTAATGTGGCCAGTTAATCCTTAGGGAGTTCCATCCCTCAGCAGAAGAGAGAGAAAATATGCTTTCTCCTTGCCTTCATTTAAGGATGAGACATACAGAGTGACTTAGAAAGAGCTCTACTTTATGCCCCCCAGCTAGGCACTAAATCTCTGTGCCTCATTTTCTGAAAACTAGGAATACATTATACGGTTGTTATAGGAACCAAGCAAGTTTGTGAATATTGGTTTATCCCAGGGTAAACTAGCACAGAGCCAATGCTTATTTCTATATCTACCCTCCTCCTCCTTTTTTCAAAAATGTATAGTAACCAACTCAAGGAAAAACCAGTTGTTGGTTATAAATGAGGCATCACTTGTCTGACTTGATTGCCTCTTGGGCTCCTTTCATCCACTCTCTAGCCACTTCCCCTCCATTTCTTTGTCAATACCTTATCAGAATCTTTTTGCTAAAATACACTCCCAAATATATCAACAAAAATAAATAATTTTCTTATTAATCTTTGTATTATGGTTGCTATCCTTAGAATCCTAAAGATGGGAATTTGTAATAGCCCTCATTTTATTCATTTGGAAACTGAGACAGAAGAAAATTCTATCTATCCCCTTGAACAAGGGCTTCCACATCCCTTTGCACACAGAGCCCATTCATTCCACAGAGGCTCCAGTGGCCGTCTGCCAGGGACCTGGGAACAAAGTGCCTTTCACATTGCTCTTCTCATTCTTCCTCACAGAAACTTCTTTGGAGGGGAGGGAGCACACAGTGCCGCTTGTGGGACTTTTGTTCCCTGTCCTGGCATCGAAACTGGGTCCTTAGCAGTGAAGGCCTGAGTCCTGAGGTCCTGACCACTGAAGCACCAGGGGATTCCCCCTTACATAAACTTTGAGGGAAGAACAGTTTTTTACCTTTTATAGCTGGGAAGGTGAGGCTCATAAAAAAGGGAAGTAGCTTTCCTAAGTGCTCACAGCTAGTCAACCACAGAGTTAAGATTTCCACATGTCTCCACAGCTAATGTGCTCCTCTCCATAATCCCTATAACAAAACTTCTGTCACCTACAGCCTGCTGAGTAAGGGGACATTCTCTCCTGGTATAGTAGGTTTGATTTACTAGGAAGTCCCTGTTCCCTACTCCAGAATTCACTAAACATATCTCTTCCTTTCTCTGGTGAGTCACATGGGCTGAGTTCTTTCTTTTCACTAGACTCTAAGACGCTTGAGGTTAGAGACCTTGTTTATTTAATCTTTATGCCTTATTCTCAGGACACATGTGCTCACCCAATTCAAGTACATTGAGCATATGAATGAGTGTGTATAATGAATGTCTATGTCCTATAGTGTAGTCTAGTTGAGAGCAGGAAAAATGGAAACAGGTAGACATATTTCCTACAGCTCAAGGTACACAGACAGACAAACACAGAGACTCCCCTCAATACAAGCCTCCCACCAGCCCCATGCACCCTCCATTCCAGGATTCAGAGACATATGCATATTCAACTGTGACTCTTCTGTTTTTCAGTTTGTGATGAAATATGGGAACATTTTTAGCATGGATTTTGGTACATTTCCTTCTGTTCTTATAACTGGATTGCCCTTAATCAAAGAAGCCCTTGTCCACCAAGACCAAAACTTTGCCAACCGCCCCTTGATGCCTATTGAAATACGTATCTTTAACAATAAAGGTAAGTTTCTTGAACAATGTATGTTTGACATTCCTATGGTCCGTGAAAGGGTCTCCAACACTCCCAAGGACCAGGCCCATCATGTTCCTGCCCCTCTAGGAAGCTGAGTCCCTGCATTTCCCTGCTGAAGACACCCGCTATGGGAACCTGGCAGGGTCAGCCCTAATGTCAGGGATTTGGGAGAAGCCATGTATTTTCAGATGGTTCCCAGTTTCTCTTTGAAACATTTACTCTATTAACTCCACATCCATTCACTCCATGAAAGCCAGGTGTACCTAGTGCTAGGCACCAGTGACAGAACACTGAGGAGAACATACAAAATCCTTGATTGTTCTATAACTTACATACTATTAAGAAAAACAGTGTCAATTACACTAATAACTTAAGACCTCAGTGTTATGAAGATAAGAGCAGGGTTCACTTATTACGGGTATCTAATCTAGTCCTTAGACTCAGGAAAAACGTATGTAAGTAAATGACATTTAATAAAGTGATGAAGCAATGCAGCAGAGGGAATAAAATGTAAAAGTTTCCAAGTTGGGAAGACGGACAGTGAACTGAGGAATTGAAAGGTGGCCAGTGCAGGAAGCACAGGGATGAAATGGAGATAATTAAATGAAGATGAAGCTTCTGAGTTTGGCCAGAAATAGTTCATGCAAGTTCTTTTTAAGGATGTTGCTTTTTATCCTAATAACAATGGAGGTTCTGAATGGTTTAAGTAGAGGAAGGAATCATCATATTTATATGGTACATTTTAAAGACTTCTCTAAGCTGCAGTGTCAAGAATGGAATAAAGGAAGCAAGAGACTATTGTAGACTTTTAGATTAGAGGAGGTGGTGGCCTGGAAGAGGGGAGTGGAAAGAAATGTCAGTCCAGTAGGTTTGACCAGGAGAGTGGTGAAGATATATGGGTTTAAGCTACTCAGGAGGCAACTCCAATAGGACATGATGACCTAGACAGAGGGAGAATGAGGTGCTGAGGTAGACACCCAAGTGGGTAGGTAAAGAAGGAAGGACGATGTGGAGGAGGACAAGGTATTGTCTGGCCTGGGTAGAGAGTTGTATAGAGCAAACCATGAATTTAGTCATGAATATGCTGAGTGTGAAGCCAAGAGAGTCAAGCAGAGAATTGTACATGTGTCTGGAGCTGAGAGGCAGAAAATACGTGTTTACTGTCAGTAGATGTGATTTGAAATTTTAGAAATTGAGATTTCCTAGAAATGGAGGATAGGGTAAAGAGAGGAGGCTTCAGACCTGATAGAAGATAGTTAACCTAAGGTATGATAATTTCTCTGAAGTCATAGAATTACCAGAAAATTATGAAGAGTGTGGTGTCCTGGGCTCCACTGGCAGAGAATGTTTCAGAAAGAAAGGATCTCATGCTGCTGACTCATTAGGATGGGGTTGAAAAGGATCCTGAATTGAATAGCAGGGATGGCCATTTCCCTCAGGTGGCGACAGTGTGGAAGGAGACATGAGAAGGAGTTGAAGAGTGCCCTGGAATGAAGAAATGGGAGGATGGTGGCCTCTCCTGTGTTATAAAATTACTGAAGTTCTATTACACACATCATACAGATTGTTTTCCTTTGCCTGTGGAGTTCTTTCTGCACAGTGTCCACAGTTTGTTATCTAGCATGATTCATTTATCTTTTTAAGATATTTAAGATCTTTTCTACTAATGAGTATTGACTCCTTCTAATCCATTAGTTCATACTTGGTATGTGGCATAACCAGTAATTAAATATTCTTATGAGACAAGTAATCAAATGACAGGCTTTGGAGTCAAGCAGACTTGAATTTGAATGCCTGTTCAGCTGCTTACTCACTCTGTGACCTTGCAGAGTTTACTTTTATCTCCCATGCCTCATTTTTCTCATCATTAAAGTTAGGCGGCTGGTTTGGCAGTCATGATTGTACCTACCTCAGAGAGTTTCTGTGAACACTAAATTACACAATGCATTAAAAATGCTAACATGTCCATCAGATGGGCAATCAGTAAATTCAAGTGATTATATCTATTGCTTTGGAATTATTTCTCTGAATAGTTTTCAAGCATCTTAAAGCCCTTCTCCTTTCCTCCATCTGGTACCTTATGAATGGGTCTTGTTGGCTTTTTTTAACATTAGCTTTCTTTTCCCAGGATTGATCATGTCCAATGGCCATGTATGGAAAGAACAAAGGAGATTTGCCCTGACAACTCTGAGGAACTTTGGTTTAGGAAAGAAGAGCTTAGAGGAACGCATTCAGGAGGAGGCTGCCTACCTCATCCAGGAAATAGGAGAGGAGAACGGTAATCAGGTCCTAGGACAGGTGCACTGACTATGGTTTATTCATTCACTAATCAGATGCTCAGTTTGAGCCTATGTGCCTGTCCTGTGCCCGGCACTGTGTGGGCCACTGAGGGAATGACAGTGAGCAGCTAACCATGACCTGCCCTCGTGGGGGTCAAGAATGAAGAAGAAGAAGAAGCTGGGTATTAAACTTATTATTGGTTTTAAATCCTGGCCATCACTTTGACTTCCCAGACATTGACTTGCTGTGTGTCAGACCCTGTACAGAGGGCTCTGGACACAGTCTCAGATGTGGTTCTGTAGTCGATGTGTCATATGTCACATAGAGTAGACTCTCTGGAAAATAGAAACCTATCTGAAGGCTCCATCTCTTCTTCTGCCTCCAGGACAGCCTTTCAACCCTCACTTCACAATCAACAATGCAGTTTCCAATATTATTTGCTCCATCACCTTTGGGGAACGATTTGACTACCAGGATGATCAGTTCCAGGAGATGCTGAGGCTGTTCGATGAGGTCATGTATCTGAGGACATCAGTGTGGTGCCAGGTAAGCCTCTTCTCACTTCCTCTCTTAGATAAAGACTTTGGGCTAATGTCAGATACAGATGAGATGGTCTTCCTTTTGTTTTAGGCTAAAATGCAACCTTTGAAATTGACTTCACCACAAACTTGTTTACAATCACTCTGTTGACTTTAGTGTTTTTGTCCCTGGAGATGGTAAAAAAATCTACCTGCAATGTGGAAGACCTAGGTTCAATCCCTGGGTTGGGAAGATCCCCTGGAGAAGGGAATGGCAACCCACTCCAGTATTCTTGCCTGGAGAATTCATGGACAGAGGAACCTGAAGACCTATATAGTCCAAGGGATCGCAAAGAGTCAGACACAACTGAGCGACTAACACACACACACATTAAATATTTACTGTTGATAAAAAACATTTCTTACGTTCATTTAAAGTACAGAACTTTTTATGATATACACATATGCACTTACGTTCTTTTCCTTAAAAAACAGTATTGCCATCACTTTTGAATCTCTCCTCTCCACGTTCCTCCCTAGCTCCACACCTCCATGATCCTCAGATGTGTGTTTCTGTGCCTGACTCCCCCTCAGCACATTGCTTTGACTCATTTGTTAGTTCCTCATTTTATCCTGCATAGTTTTCCACTTCATGAATGTGACACTGATTGTTATTCTCTTGAATAATGGCTTGGAGGATTAATAAACACATTTCTAATTAGAGGGATTTCTAATTTGAGGGATATTATGAATAAAGCTGCCATGAATATTCTTGTTTTATGCACACTCAAAGATACACACACACACACACACACACACACGAGACAATTGCCATGAACAAAATAATAAAACAATATAAGGGAATAGGAAGAGGGTCCCAGGGGTGCTGCTAATTAGAGGATACCAGGTAATACAGGTCCAAGTAAGTGACACTTATGTGGACATGAATGAAGTAAAAGGCTAGTGTTGTACAGATTTCATAGGAAGACCAGTCTGATTGTATGAATAGCCAAAGCAAAGGACTAAACATTATCGTCCTTGAGGTTGTCACAGAGACCAATGGGGCTGGACTGGAAAGACAGAGAGAGGAAGGTGGCAGCAAGCGATAGCAGAAGAGGGGGCAGGAGGGTGAGAGGCCAGCTCATGTGGAGCTCCAGATCAGAAGAAGGACGTAGAACTTGTCTAAATGTTTATGGAAAGTCAGTGAAGTATTGAGGGATAAGCAGTGATATGATTTATTAAACTGTTAAAGGGTCCCTCTGGCACCTCAGTGGAAAATCGACTGGGAAGGGGGTTAAGGAGAGAATCAAGGAAAATGGTGGAGTCTTTACAGCATCCAGGTGAGACATGTTGATGCTTTGTACTAGAATGACAAATACATGGAGTAGTGAGAAGTGGTCTGAAATTGGTTATATTTTGGAAGAAGTGCTAAAATACTTTGCCAAGAGAAAAGAAGAGGATTGAGACAGAGAAGATGAATCAAGGGTGGCTCAAAGGGTTAAGTGTAAGCAAAGAAAATATATATAAAGATACTATGGTATCTTAGTCTTCAAGAATGAAAAACTAGCACCCTCTTGTCTTCATGACTGTTTTGTTTTCTCCATCAGCTCTACAATGTCTTTCCAAGGATAATGAATTTCCTTCCGGGTCCCCAGCAAACACTCTTTAGTAAATGGGAGAAACTTAAAATGTTTGTTGCTCATGTGATTGAAAACCACAAGAGAGGCTGGAATCCTGCTGAAGCAAGAGACTTCATTGATGCTTATCTCCAGGAAATAGAAAAGGTGAGAGAACCTAAGTGTTTTCCTGAGTAGTGTTCTTAAAGAACAAGTGAAAGGATTCTGGTTTGCTATGCTGCTGTAACAAATCAAACTTAGGGGCTTAAACAGACCCACATTTATCACGGTAAGGTGTTGGCAGGCCTGGCTCCTTCAGCGGCTCTAGGGCAGAATCTGTTGAATCACCTCCAGCACCTAGAGGCTGCTGCACTCCGTGACTCAGGGCCCCTTCCTCCATCTTCCAAGCCATTGATGTATCTTCTTCTCTGCCACCATCCTCATATGGTCTCTTTATGTTCTTGCCTCCTCTTATAGAGACTCTTGTGGTTATAATTGAAACATTGGGATAATCCAGGGTAATCTTTCTATGTCAAAATCCTTAACTTCATCATATCTGCAAAGTTCCATCTGTCAAAAAACATTCACCAGTTCCAGAGATTAGAACATGGACGTTTTTGTGGCTTATTTTTCAGCCCACCACAGGGGAAGGACATAGAGTTTAGAAATATCATGACCTCAGAATTGATGATACAATTAGAAATAAAAATATTAATTTAAGAGTAATTGACTTAAGGTCTTTGAAAAACCCAAATACTGCCTTTTCATTTTTCAATCTCTATCCTCTACCTGAGTCTGAAGTACCTATGCACAAAAGGAAAAAGAACCATGGTTTCATTATCACTTGGGCCAGTACCCAGACTCCTACCCCTTTCTTTAGCTCCCTAGTGCAGAACACAAAAGTGAAGCTGAGTCAGAGGCCAGAGTTAAGCCTCAAGTGGAGGGACATTTGCCTTCTTCCCTCATCCTCATGTCATCCACTTTCCAATATTATATAGGAGAAGCAAGAAAAAAGGCCAAATTGGTTGTATATCATTTAGCATAGTGAACCTGCTGGTTAATACTCATCACTGCATCAGTGTTATCATTTTTGTCTCATTAGATTGTTCATTCCTTCTCCTGGAGTTGAAAGAATGGTGCATTTTTCCATCTCCTCTCTTATTTCACCTTACTCTTACAACGTTACTAGTTTAAAGTAAATATAGATTGATTCTTCCTGAGAGAAGGAGACTTCACTTGCTGTGAGGTGTGTGGGATCCCACACAGGGCAACACTGGCACACTGCAGCTCCTGGAGGAAGGTGGTGTGAGGCTGGAGGGCCACGGGGAGAGGCTGTGAGAGAAGGTTAACCGGGGCGATGTGAGGATTGTTGTACGCTAGAGAAGTGCATTTTATTCTCTCTGGTATCAGTACACACATTCATTGAAAATTTGTTATGTGCCCTTTCGACTCACATAATTTATAATATAACTTTCAGGGGTGAGTGTTGTTATTTCTATTTTATGAATCAGAGAAGTGAAACATAGACAGGCTGATAAGTTTGAGGTTTAGTTACCTGGCCAAGTTGTACAGGTAGTGAATGATGTGGGGCTAACATTGGAACTTAAGACTGTTTTTCCAATGTAATAATAGATTCTCCCAAGTTATGGAAGTAAAATAAATGTATTGTCTCGATTTTCATCCACCAGAATTAACAGAAGATTCTAGCACTTGGGGCAGGAGGATGCTAAGTATACTGGAGTAATAAGTCTCTGCCTCCTAAGATGACCAAAGGGAAAGCCATTTCTCCTGGGGAGGAAGTGGTCTCTCCTCCCATGTTTTGTCTAGAATGAAGCCCTCTGTGTTGTGGCAACTAAGAACAGTCTCAATAAACCAATAATCACTGTGCTTTCTAGCATAAGGACAATGCTGCTTCATGTTTCCATGAAGAAAATCTTATCTACAATACCCTGGACCTCTTCTTCGCTGGAACAGAGACAACTTCAACCACCTTGCGCTGGGGTCTGCTCTACATGGCCTTGTACCCTGAAATCCAAGGTGAGCACATCAGGGGGTAGGCCTGGGTCAGGTCAGAATACTTCCCTAAGTTAGTTCGTGTAAATCTCAGTATTCCTAAAGGGTGCTATTTGATTTATCCTCACTATTAAGAAGAGGAACCTGAGACTCTAAGAGCTTCAGAAACTCACAGCAGGAATGTTGTTGAGCAAGAATTTGCCACCAGATTTGTCTCACACCAGGGCCTACTTCCTACTCACGTAACCTCCCTGAAGAGCTAGTCTGGATAACCTAACATAGCCATTTTTATCCTGGTTATTCCATTCCTTAGCTTAACCAGGCTTAAGAAAAATTGTGGAATATTAGAATAATACAACCTTCTCTTATTTTCCAGAAAAAGTCCAAGCCGAGATTGACAGGGTGCTTGGCCAATCTCAGAAACCAAGCACGGCCATGCGAGAGTCCATGCCCTACACCAACGCTGTCATCCACGAGGTGCTGAGAATGGGGAACATAGTCCCTCTGAACGTACCCCGGGAGGTGGCAGTGGACACCACCCTGGCCGGATACCACCTGCCCAAGGTAATTAGGGCCTCTCTCATAGCCTCAGGTCTCCAAGCTCATATTTGTAAATGGTTGGAGTCTCATTGGGAAATGTGACATGTTTTCTTGTCTTAGGAAAGCACTTAAATAGGGAGAGAGAGATATTAATATTATTGCTGATGTAATAGAATTTTTTCTTCCTATGGGGTTTTTAGAACATTAGTTCAAGAAAACGTTAATAGGTGTTGTGGGAAAATAAGGGGATTCCTAGGTCAAACATATTTAGGCAAAGACTTGCTGTTTTAAATTTGAGATGTCTCCGTGTTTTAATACATGATGTGCATTGTTAATTCCTGTGGGGATACAGCAGGCAGCAATTCTCAGTCAGACTTTGCCATGAGGTCCTTTTCTTTACCTTGGGAGAACTTCTCACAGGATAGGGACCTGCCACACTTATGTTGGAAAATTCTGCTTCACAATCCTGGTGGTTTAGAATATTGAAATATGAATAAATATTTGAGACCATCTGAACCAAAATCACATTAAAGTGATGTTTCTAGCGTAATAGCCCCAAATGTATTTTTCCAGCTTTGATGTACACCCCCTTGATGGGACTTCTTCACAGGGGGAAACAATCCAAGTCCGTGCAGCACTAAATATCAGAAAAGGAGAGAAAGGAACCAGTGCTTTTTAAGCAGTGATTATGTGCCACTGGTCTTCCCTGGTAGCTCAGACTGTAAAGAATCTGCCTGCAATGCAGGAGACCCGGGTTTGATCCCTGGGTCGGGAAGATCCCCTGGAGAAGGGAATGACAGCTGACTCCAGTATTCTTGCCTGGAGAATTCCATGGAGAGAGGAGCCTGGCAGGCTACAGTCCATGGGGGTTGCAAAGAGTTGGACACAACTGAGCAACTAACATACATGCTCTATGTGCCATTGACTGTTTGGGGTCTCTCAAAATATCTTTATCGGTCCTCAGAATAATTTTGTTATCCTCATTTTACAAATTTGAACTTCAGGCTGAGAGAGTTACTAGTCTTTTAAAGAGTTCTCAACTGCAAAATGACCACAGCAGGGTTCCAGAAACAGAGTTTTTCTGATTCCCAGGCTCATCTTTTTCTGTTCTACACAAAGCTCTCTCCTCAGGGGTTACTTTATTTTGCATTTAAAAAAGACCCCCTGTAATTGTTCTCTGTGGGGCCCTGTCCTCACAAAGACAATTCTGCTCTCATTCTGCCCACCACTCTTAGGATCTCAGCAGACAGCTCTCCTGTGCCTCTGAGTGTCCTCTCTGCATACTGCACCTTCACAGTTCTTTCCTTTCTCACCCCTTGGTCCATCTCTGTGGATCCACTGAAGTTTGTCTGAGTTTCTCTGTGTGTGGAGCCTGGGGCTGATATCAAGGCAGAACAGTAGGAACTTCCCCACTGCATTCCCCTTTGTCCCCATCCTGCAGAGCTGGGAAAAGCAGCTATTCCTGCAATGATTGTGTTTACCATTTTCTTGCTGACTGACCATTTTGTGGGTGAAATCTGAAGTCTAAATGACTTCACAGGATATCTTTGTATATTCATAGCAATTAATTTAGCTCCCGATAACCATTCTAAGTCAATAGACTGGTTATAACAAGTTTTCTTTTCTGATGTAGTATTCTGCAGGCCCAGGGAGCCAAGTAAAACCGATTTTTAATAGCAGCTCGAATAGTCACCCTGAGGGATGGCATGTGCAGTGCTTCTCCACATAGCCCCAATCTGAGGAGTTCTGAAGCGCTGGCTTCCAGGCCTCCGCATGCAACCCTCTATAAGAAAGTGATACTAGACTAAATGCAGAGGAAAAGAAGATGGGGCATTGGGTGCTGAGGAAAGGCAGGTACTTGCTGAAGGATACATAATGAGAATGCTCCTCAAATTGGGTAAAACTTAGGTCACAGAAAGCCAGGTCCTGGTTGATTAGCTCACGATGGTGGAGTAGAAGGGTTTGAACTTAACCTTCTTATGCAAACACAAAAACCACAAATATCTTCTGAACAACCATTGACCAAAAGAAAAAAAAGGAAACCTATCAAAAAAAGATACCCTACATCCAAAGATGAAGAAGCCACAGCAAGATGGCAGGAGTGGCGCAACTGGGATAAAGTCAAGTCCCATACTCACTGGGTGGGCAGTGTGCAAGCAGTAAGACAATTACATCACAGAAATTCTGTCACAGAAGTGGAAGTCCTGAGCCCCATGTCAAGTGCCCCAGCCTGGGGGTCTGACAACAGGAGGATGTGCCCCCACAGAATCTAGCTTTGAAGACCAGCAGGGTTTGATTGCTGGCATTCCACAGGACTGGGGGTAACAGAAGCTCCACTCTTGGAGGGCACACACAAGGTGGTGTGCACACCAGGACCCTGGGGGAAGAAGCAGTGACCTCGTAAGAGGCTGGACCCGACCTACCTGCTAGTATTGGAGGGTCTCCAAGAAAGGTGGGGGGCAGCTGTGGCTCACAGCAGGGACAAACACACTGGTAACTCCAGCACTTACTCATTGACATGAAGATACCCTGAGGCTGCCATGCAAAACAGCATGGAAAGGAGTGGGGACAAATGACAGATTGAGAAATTGAAAGAGGCTTGATGTAGTGGGAGCGCAGGTAGAAGGATGGTGGCTCAAACAGGGGCAGGTGATGCGTCCTTAATCTAAGAGTGATGGGAGCTCTTGAAGGCTATCTGTCAAGTGCCAGGTGTGGTGGGTGGAAAGGACTAACATGATTAAATCACATCCAAAGTTAACTCTGCTTTCATTGTGTTGAGAACAGTGAAGGGGAAGAGGGGATATAGAGTTGTAGTCAGAGCAACTGTAGGAATGTGTGGACACCCAAGGTTGTCCTTGGACCAGGCAGTGGGGGCATAATGCAGGTGACAGAATCAAGAGAAATTTCACGTAAAATTGACCAGCCTGCCCGAAGGACTGGATGAAGGCAAAATGAGGAAAAGGGGAGCACTAAGGAGGACTCCTGGGTTTCTTGCTGTGTACTAAAAAGGATAGAGGTCCCTTCCACTGGGTGACCTGATTCTATCATTGAACCTTCTGTGGAATGTGTAGATAATGGAGGGAAGGGAATGGAGGGAGAAACTTAGACAAATGAGACATTTTTTTGTTATACAAACTGCCATAGTTACCACTTCTCTGAGCAGCCGGGTTGATTTTGATCCAGAACTGCCTGCCCACTGTCACATGATTCATACATGTTGCATACCTGTTCATTGATTCATATGTGTTCCCTCCCAAGTTCAACACTGACACGTCCCTGCAGAGATACATTCTGCACTAAGAGCAGTCATACCTCCCTGATCAAATTCCCAACAGACAATTCCAGTCCACAGTTTTAAGCTGACTCATGGCAAAGAGCTGGGTCGTAGGGATTGGACTCTGAAGTTACTTAGTTGGGGAGTTTGAGGGAATTTGGGGTGCTATCAACATTAATGCAGGAGCCTGGGGGGCTGCTGCCCCGTTGCTCACGTATGTTGTGTGTGTCGTGTCTTGCACGAGTCTTTTTTGCCTTCTCCAGGGCACCGTGGTCACGACCAACCTGACTGCTCTGCACAGGGACCCCGCAGAGTGGGCCACCCCTGACACCTTCAATCCAGAGCATTTTCTGGAGAATGGACAGTTTAAAAAACGGGAATCCTTTCTGCCTTTTTCAATAGGTGAGTAGCAAAAAACAGGAGTGCGGGAACCCAGAGTCTCTCTCTTTACCCTTCTCTACTCTTCTCCTTGTGAGGCTTTGCTTTAGTTGGAATGTCTCTAGATAGCCCTGCCCAGCGTGGCTCACACTTGCTATGGTTGCATCTTAGGATTCCCTGGGTGGAGCATCACCAGGACTCATGCCCTTACTTCCTAAGCCCTGGCTTGACTTGGAGATTTCAGCATCAAGTTGTTCTGTCCCCAGAACACTGGAGACAGAAGCTTAGCCTCTGCCTGTTACCCACAAAGAAGGTTGGAACCTCACCATCTTCATAGAGCTACAAGTGTTCCATGATCCTTTTAGGGCTGCCCACTCAATAAAAATAAAGCTATTTCCTAAGAAAGGGGTGGAGGAGGTTCCAGTAAAGGGGCTGCTTCCTTATCGTTATGGGTATCACAAGTGACTCTAGGTGCCATGGATTTAAGCAGATGAGGTTCTACTCTATCCATTTTCTGATGAGGTCCCTTTGACTTTTAAAATTCTAATAACCCTTTAAAAATCTAGTTAATACATTTACATGGTGCACAACTTGAAATGTACAAAAGAGAATGTAGAGAAAACTTTCTTTCATGTTTCCCAGCCTGCCTGTTAGAAAAGGGTGTTTTAACTCATAACAATGTGAAATGAGTAACAAAATTCTCCATATATACCAGATAGCAAGTTAAGTATGCTGCTGAAATAACTTCAAATAATTTCCCAAATCCTTAATTCTATAAATGTTTCCTGAGCACCTATTTTGTGTCAAACATTCAGCCTGGAGGATATGATGATGACTAGGTAGGAGGGAAAAAACAATGCAACTCTCATGGACCACATGTTGTAGTATAACCTTACATGGTTCAAATTCCTATCACCACATTGGGGATAAGGAAGGAAACTGAAGCTTAGAAGGGCCAACTGTGGTATCTACAGTAATAAAGCTCATAGAAGCAGAGCTAGAACTCAGTGTTGAACATGTTTATCAAATACTGAAGCCTGTGCTCTTCCTAGCAGTGTCTTCTTTAAAAAGTAACTAAATGCTAGTGAGTTAACACTCTGAAATTGATAGTAGTTTTCTAATCATTAATTTAAAGTAAATATAGATTGATTATCTGCAACAGTATAATTTTACTTATCATGACGCAAAGGCACAATAAGGGAGGGACTGGAATTTGAACCCACATAGACATGATGCAGAGCCCAGGTTTCCTGCTGTAGGACTTGTCCTGCGTGTATCTAGACTGGTTCTGGTTAGATCTTCTATATCTTTCTTACTCTCATTCTATGCCACTGTTGCTCACTTTGACAAGTCACTTTCTAACATGAAAGCAGACATGAGATGTGGGAAAACCGTCTTCCTGTCTGCAAGAGCTTCCGATTTCCTATTATAGTACAAAGCTGCAGGTGCTTTATTTAAGTATAGAATTATTCTCACCTCACTGGTTTTGTTGTTATTGTTGTTTTTATTCAAAGTTGTACCACACCCTTCTAATTATAGATTTCATTGGCAAGCAAATTGTTTTACTTACTACTTACGAAAACCCAATTATTAGCAGTTAAACATAAAGGGATCAGTATCTCAATGTAAGGAAATTAGGATTCAGAGAAAGTTGTTTCTCATCCAAGGTCACCTGCCCAAGGAATTGGCAGAAAAGGGCAAAAGACTCAAGTTTCTGGTTTCTTTTTAAATTTTTATTGATGTATAGTTGATTTACAATATTGTATTAGTTTCAAGTGTACAGCAAAGTGGTTCCATTGTACATACATTTATACCTTTTTTTCCCCTTACTGGTTATTACAAAATATTGAGTGTAGTTCCCTGTGCTATACCGTAGGTCCTTGTTGGTTATATTTAAGTTCTAATCTAGTGCTCTTGCTAACACAATTAGAACGTTACTTATATTCCTAAAGTAACTTCCATTTTAAGATTCACTGAGTTCATATTTATATGTATTGATCATTATATTACTACATAACAAAGTCAAGAACTCAGTTACTTAAAGTAATATGTATTATTGCTCCCAAGTCTACAATTGAGCTTGGGAGCTCGATTGATCTTAGCTGGGCTTTTTTGCCTGTTTGGGAGATCAGCTGGCTGAAGGCTGATCTAAGATGACCCCGGCTGGGACAACAGGGCTTTTTCTAGGTTTTTTCCTCCAGCAGGTTAGCCCAGTTGGTGTACTTGTGGAAGATCTGACCACAGGTGGGAGAACAGAAGCACACACAGTGCCTCCAAAAGGCCCCGCTGGGAACTGGAGACCATCACCCCCACTGCCTTCTGGTGCCCATGCAGGTTATAGCCCCAGATCAAAGGAAAGGGGAAACGGCACAATTTTGGGGAAAGGGCTATGAAATCACATTGCAAATAATGGGGTTATAGGGAGAGGGTGGAACTTGGAGCCGGTGTTGCAATGAAGAGTTCCCACAAGCTGTCTTTCTGCCTAAAAGTCAAATCCAGAAATAGGCAAGCATTTGGGGGATACTCTCAGCTATTACAGAATGAGGGCTGGCCGAACACAACAGGATATAGAAACCTGAAAAATGCACTGAGTCAAAAAGTCAACACAGTGTCAGGTTTTTTCCCACCACACTCCCGTCTTCGGGGCACTGTTGCTTTCCCTCATTCTTGATCCAGCACTTTGTAAAGAAAGCTTCCTTGAAGGCATGGGAAATGCCTTCTCTTGGAAAGATGATCAGGTGTGGAATTAGGATGCATGCACAGTCAGGGCGGATGCCAAAACTATTATTGCAAACTTGTATTTTTTTCATGTAAGGTTTTCCCCTTTGAGCCAACAAAACAGCAAACAACTTCTTGAAAAGCAAGAGACTGAATCCTCATTTTCAAAAAAGAAATAACTGGATCATAGGAGATAAGATTAGAAAGATCTTTTTTCAAAAACCCTAGGCCAGTTCTCTCATTCCTAGTGAGGCAATTGACCTGGTTAGTGATGGCCAGCTGGTGGAAGCACCAAGGAGAAGATCTATGTTTCCCGTAGTCCAGGATGAAGACTTGAAGTAAAGTAGCCCTACTTTTCATGAGTTATAAATCATGTCTCCTATCTTATTGGTATCCTTTCCCAGCCACATACTGTGGTTAGGAGAAAGATTACTTCACAAATTTGGCAAGTGAGAATTGTTTATGTCGGTGAGAATAAACGATTTACTCATAGCCGAGAGCTGGGTACTGATGGAACCAGTACTGTAACTCTGGTTCCTCACTCTGTGGGTCCAATTTTGTCACAATATCTGGATTCTTCTAGGAAAATCTTAGGTATTTACAATACAACTGATTTGGTATCATTTGAACCAATTTCTTCACTGTTTCATTAGTGATGGATAAAGAAATCAGAATGAGAGGAACAGAAATATTTAGACATGTGCTGGTGGGAAACATAGAAACAGAATTATATAAAATGGCATAATTCTGAAGCATATTTTGATTTATTAAACACTTTTGCAGCTACTCTCTAATTTTATTTCCTCAACAAGTGGTTTCAGGCAGAGGACACAATCTGAAGCATGCTACATTACTGCTTTCCAAGAATACTTCATTACTTGAGGAAACACGAAAAAGCAGCACCAGAATTAACTCCAGAGAGTAATGCCAGTGAGGGTGAACAGCAGAATCTTTTCAAAGACAGCTAGGCAATATGTCAAAATGTTAACAAGGGTTTTGTCTGAATTATAGGATTACAGACATCTTTTATTTCTATTTTTCACACATTTTCTTCATTTTTGCAGTAAACATGCATTACTTAGGGAGAAAGTAAGTTATTAAAACACCCACAAGAGAGATGGTGGTAGAGCCCTGTTTGGGGTGTTGTAGCCCAACTCAGGGAGGAAAACATCATGAAGGGAGGGGGGTGGGTGAGGGAAGCCTGGAGCAGGTGAACACAGGTGGGATGAGACAGAGTCTTACTTTTGTCCTATGGGCAGTGGGGTTGGGGTCCTATGGTGTGAGATTCCCAGTTATTAAGGCAGAAAACCTGCCAGAGGGAGAAGGTGCCTCCTGCTTGAGAAACTTTGACATTCATTTGCTTATACTTTTCATCAGTCTTTTTTTGAAAATTGAAAAAAAAAATGCAAAATTTTGCTTTTTGTCTGCTTTTTTCCTTATCATTTGCTAATGGATTTTTGAAAGACTTTTGACTTGACAACATTTGTAGGTCGACCCAACCCCTCACTTGTTTCATCCACACCCTGTACCTTCATCCTGTGCCTCACCAGTCTGACCCCTGAAGGCACTGGAGTGTGTGATTGCGGAATGAGCTCCCTGGACTTAGGATGCACCAGGTGGTTATGATCAAATAAACAGTGCATAAAGCCCCAGGACCAGGCAGGCCCTCACCTTGCTCAGGTTTTACAAGATGTGGTGTGAGATTTCCATCCTTTCGGGGCACAGATACCATCTGAGGAGGTAACTCATCTCATATTTTTGTCTTTTAGGAAAGCGGATGTGCCTTGGAGAACAGTTGGCCAGGACTGAATTGTTTATTTTCCTTACTTCACTTCTGCAAAAATTTACTTTCAGGCCTCCAGAGAATGAGAAGCTGAGCCTGAAGTTCAGAATGAGCATGACCCTCTCCCCAGTCAGCCACCGCCTCTGTGCTATTCCTAGGGTGTGAAGTTGTCGGGAGGGGGAGAGAGGGGGAGGAAAGAAGGAAGAATGGGCGTGTCCCCCCAAGGCAGGGCGCCTGCTCAGAAGTGAGGGAGCAGCATCCAGTGCCTCTAGGACAGGTCACAGGAGCTGGACTCAGAAGGAACTGGATCCAAACCCCAGCTTTGTCATCTTCAGTGGAGCCTTAGGAAATCAGTTACTTTGTGAGTGATTTGCCATTTCATCTAGGAGATTTAATCAATCTTGAGTACTCTTTGGAAGGACTGATGCTGAAACAGAAGCTCCAGTACTCTGGCCACCTGATGCCAACGACTGATTAATTGGTCATTGGAAAAAACCCTGATGCTGGGAAAGAGTCAGAGCAGGAGGAGAAGAGGGCGACAGAGGATGAGATGGTTGGATGGCATCACTGATTCAATGGACATGAACTTGGGCAAACTCTGGGAGATGGTAAGGGACAGGGAAGTCTGGCGTGCTGCAATCCATGGGGTCTCAAAGAGTCAGACACAACTGAGTGACTGAACAACGAATAACAACAACTAGGAAATTTGAAGTGGACAACAATTCCTTAGCTAAACAAAAAACTGCTATTAAGATCAGAGGAGTAAGGAGGAGACTTATGGAGAAAGGAGGGGAAAGAGAGGGTAGAACTAATTGAGGAAGTAGCATTGCCATATATACACGACCATGTGAAAAATAGATATTGGGAAGATGCTGTATAACACAGGGAGCTCAGCTGGTGTTCTGTGACCACCTAGAGGGGTGGAATGGGGTGGGAGGATTGAAGCTCAAGAGGGAGTGGATGTATGTATATCCGTGGGACTTCCTGGGCAAGAATACTGGAGTGGGTAGCCATTCCATTCTTCAGGGGATCTTCCTGACCCAGGGATCAAACCCAGGCCTCCTACATTTCAGGCAGGTTCTTTACCATCTGAGCAACCAGGGAAGCTGTATATCTGTGTGTGTGTGTGTGTGTGTGTGTGTGTGTGTGTGTTTATGTCTGATTCACACTGTGGTACAGCAGAAAGCAACATGACATTGTAAAGCAATTTTGCTCCAATTAAAAAAATAGATCAGGGAAAATAATGGACTTTAAGTGGTTTGTAAATTGTAAAGCATATCATAAAAGTTATAATCATGATCTGCTTTTCTGTGCCCTTCCTGAGAGGGAAATTTGCTTCTGGCCTGTTGAGATGCCCTGGGTCAAAGAGGTGCCAAATGATGGATACGAGTTTCAAGTTGGGCCCTGGGGCAGCCACGGAGGTCAATCAGAAAGGCCCTCACACTTGGTAGCACTGGGCAAACTTATCCTGCTTCTGCCTCAGACTGGCCCCTGGAAAATCAGTAGGGCAGGGAGAGCCTTGATTTATAGGCAGGTTTCTATGGAGAAGCAGTTTCTCTGGTTTACCTAAGAATACACTGCCTTGGCTTTGGAAACCAGAGCCAAGAAGGACATCACTACATATAACCAAACATGGAAATCAATTTATGGAGAAACAAATGTGGAAATATTTTGCAATTATATTGTGCCTCCTTAACTTAAATCCTCTCATGCATTTATTCCCACCCCCACCCCCCCACCCCGCCTTATTGGTATTAACAACATGGTAGTTGTGATCTTTTCTTATATATTGATTGTCAGCTTTCGACTGAAAAATATTCCCAGCCTAAACACAACTGATGAACTCTGGTAAAGTATAGTATAGAAGGAAACAGAAATGCCAAAATCCTGATAGCCCTCCTGTGTGTGGTCACTGAGGGGAGAAAATGGCATCAACGGGAAGGCCAGGTGCCACTGAGAGTCCATGGGGTTTTGATGCCAATCCCCATGCAGACAAACACCAGCAAACCTGGTAAACTGGACTAAACCTTGTAGTTTATTTTTCTCGTGTTAGAATTAAGAAATTTAAATATCTCAGAACAAAATGGCACTTGAGAACATGGGCCTTTTCATCCCTGTTGCTTGAAATTTAGAGAAAAGCTAAATCATGACACCATTAGAAAGGGAATCAGGAAGAGAAGGCAAGAGAGAAGGAGTGAGAGAGTCTGGCTGGAGCTGGCCTGAGCCTGTCAGAGTCAAGAGTAAGTCTGGGAGAAATGGTTGCATGACCTGAAAGGCAGGGAGATGATTTGCTCTGGAGTAGAAAATGAGAACCCCAGCTGCCCACCAGAGTGCACTTCCTTTGTAATCTTTTGAAAAGTTTCATCTCTATAAAAACACCTTAAATGACATTTCTGAAATGAAACCAATCAAACCAGACCTTTAACTTCCTGAGTATCTGAGACCTTGTCATCCACTCTGTTTTTCTGCAGTCAGATCATCCTCATAGGAGACTGAAAATTGGCCAAAATACTTTCCCTTATCTACTCAGTCTCAACTGTTCAATGAACTCTGTTGAATCATCTCCAAGGTCCATTCATGCTCTGCTGTGCATTTTCCATGATTTACTAGAATCATGTTTACTAGAGTCAGTAGGGCAGGCATTTACCTACTCCCTTTGGAATCAATGGAAAACTCCTGGACACTCATCCTGCCCTAATGATGCAGTGGGACCCAGATCCAAGTAACATGTGATCACAATTAACCAGAAAGCTACAGGACACAGGGCTGGGAGTGGCTGAATTTCTGAACTTGCAAAATGTCTCCTTTTTTCCTCAAAGCTCATATTTCAGAGACCCTTAAATATGAATTCTCTACTGTAAAAGCATTACACAAGGATTTTGTTTTCTGTCCTTTTGTAACTCTCTTATTCCTCATCTATTTTGGAAGCTCCAGGTCATCTTTCCCTCTTCCTTTGTGTCTATATCTGACACCTAGTGTGCCAGCATATGACATGTTCTGTGGCATCGTGGATGAGATGCAGATTTTACTGGAAAGCACCCAGGCTGTGAATATTCCCTTCACCCTTGTCCTCCCTTAGAGACACTGACATGCACAGGCTGCTGTGTTATTTAAAGTCAGGTTGGAGGCTGGCCTTTTACAAGGAGACGAGGAGCAGGGCACTCAGGATACCCTGAGTTGCATAGAAACATATTCAGGTCAGGCATGACTGGAGGACATGCACCAAAGAGGGGGTCCAGCAGAGGAGCCACTTCCCACGCTTCTATGTGTTTACAGACAGGAGGCAGGAGCTGGCAGATGACTAAGAAACAAGGACAGCATCCTAGGTGAGTTTGCCCTGGGAACCTGAGAGCCTGCCTCCATGACAAGCTCTTCTCCCTGTGATCTAACTCAAACTTGCTTATTGCTAAGCTACCAAGACGGAAGGAGGCGGGCACTGAGGATGAGTGTCCAGGGACATTGGTCCATGTCAATCATCCCAAATTCCAATGTATTTTCTCTTCTTAGCAAGATGACACTACTATGTTGCAAATTCTCTCATTCTAGTAAAGGATTCAAGTCAGTCTTCCAGGGAGCCCCTTATGGTTCATATTTAACATATTTTGTTTAATATAATAAATATTTATATATATAATATATATTGGAAATAAATTATATATTATATAAACTTTTTTGTGGTATAAATATATCTATTAAATCAAGTAACTGTTTACTTTGCATATAATACACTAAAGTGTAGTTGTAGTCTTAGAAAAGTACAGCCCACCAAGTATGAACCAGAAAGAAATAGAAATTATATACAGACCAATCACAAGCACTGGAATTGAAACTGCAATCAAAAATCTTCCAGAAAACAAAAACTCAAGGCCAGATCGCTTCACAGGCAAATTCTATCAAATGTTTAGAGAAGAGCTAACATATATTCTGCTCAAACTCTTCCAAAAAATTGCAGAGGGAGGAATATTCCAAAATTCATTCAATTAATATGAGGCCATGATAACCCTGATACCAAAACAAGACAATGATACCACCAAAAAAGAAAATTACAGGCCAATATCACTGATAAACATATATCAAAAATCCTCAATAAAATACTAGCAAACAGAATCCAACAACACATTAAAACGATCATATACCATGATCAGTTGGGGTTTATCCCAGAGATGCAAGGATTCTTCAAAATATAAAAATCAATCAATGTGATACACCATATTAAGAAACTGAATGATAAAAATCATATAATAATTTCAACAGATGCAGAAAAAGCGTTTGACAAAATTCATCATCCACTTATGATTAAAAACACTCTCCAGAAAATGGGCATAGAAGGAACCTACCTCAACATAATAAAGTCCCTATATGACAAACTTACAGCAAACATTATTCTCAAAGGTGAAAAACTGAAAGCATTTCCTCTAAGATCAGGAATAAAACAAGGTTGCCCACTCTCACCACTGTTATTAAGTATAGATTCAGAAGCCCTAGCCATAGGAATCAGATACGAAAAAGATAGAAAATGAATACAGATTGAAAAAGAAGAAGTAAAACTAACTGGTTGCAGATGACATGACGCTATACAAAGAAAACTCTAAAGATGCCATCAGAAAATTACGAGAACTGATCAATGAATTTAGTAACACTGCAGGATACAAAATTAACACAGAGAAATCCCTTGCATTCCTATACACTAAAAATGAAAAATCAGAAAGAAAAATTGAGGAAACAATCCCAATCACCATCTCAACAAAAAGAATAAAATACCTGGTAATAAACCTAAGGAGAAAAAAGACCTGTATGCTGAAAATTATAAGACATTGATGAAAGAAATTAATGATGACATAAACAGATGGGAAGATATAGCATGTTCTTGGGTTGAAAGAATCAATATTGTGAAAATGACTATACTACCCAAAGCAATCTACAGATTCAATGCAATCCCTATCAAATTATCAATGGCATTTTCCACAGAACTAGAATAAAATTTTACCATTTGTGTGGAAACACAGAGACTCCAAATACCTAAAGCAATTTTGAGAAAGAAAAATTGAACTGGAGGAATCAGGTTCCATGACTTTAGGCTAGCCTACAAAACTACAGTCATCAAGAGACTATGGCATAAAAATAGAACTATACCTCAATGAACAAGATAGAATGCTCAGAGATAAACCCACATACCTATGGACATCTTGTCTTTGACAAATGAGGCAAGAATATACAATGGAGAAAAGGCAGCTTCTTCAATAAGTGGTGCTAGAAAAACTGTACAGCTACATGTAAAAGGATGGAAGTAGGACACGTACTAACACCATACACAAAAATAAATTCAAAGTGAATTAAAGATCTAAATGTAAGGACAGAAACTGTGAAATTCCTAGAGGAAAACATAGAACACTCTTTGACACAAAGAGCAGCAAGATCCTCTTTGACCTGCCTTATAGAGTAATGGAAATAGAAACAAAAGTAAACAAATGGGACCTAATTAAA